GGGCCGGGGGCGCCCGGCCGGTGTCTGCCCTGCCGCGGGCAGGCCCCGGTGGCGGCGCTGAGCCGGGGAGCTCATCCCAGGGCTGGGAAAAGGAGAAGGGAAAATCCCCCAGCGGAGGCCGGCACACGGCCGGCCCCATGCCCTGGGGGGACGGGGGCTGCCGGAGCTGGGGGTGGGGGACGGGAGCCAGGCTCTGCTCTCGGGCACCCCGGCCCTGCGGCTGCTCCAGCACAGAGTCACAGCTTCTGTGGCCAAACCCCTCCAAAGCAAACTTTCTGGGGACAGGATGGAGCCCGGGCGGCAGCTCCCCTCGGGCAGAGAGGGGCACTGAGATGGACGGAGAGAAACCCAGAGCTCATCTCACCGGCACCAGAACCAGTACTGGAGGGATGCCGGAGCCCTTCCAGCCCATTCAGGCCAGATTAGAGCAACCATACAGTCAGGAGTGAAGAGAGGATCTAGTAGTTGTTTGTATCCATAGAACCTTGAAATGTCTAGTAGTGGGTTGTATTTTTAAAATATTCTATCGTAGACGGGTAGTATAACCTTGCAGGTGCTGGCTTATCTCGGATAAGGGATGGGAGGATGGCACAAGGCGCCTGAAGCCGAGGCTGAAGCTCCGAAAAACCAGCCAGGACCAGGCCTGTGGTTTGGACGAACTCCAGGGGTGATCTGAGCCTGCACAGAGGTGAAAAGTTCACAGCAAGGAAGACTACTGACTTCATCCCTGAGACCTCCTGTCGACCACTACCAAGAAGCACTGCACAGACTCAGGGGGGCGGGAAGTTTATTTGCATGAGAAGCGGGGAAAGTTAATGCATATGTATAGACGTTGTGTCACACCTGTTGAATATGTATTAGTTAGGGCCATAAACATAGAGCTTTGCTCTGTGTTGGGGCGCACATCTTTGGGAAGGATCCCATGTGCGTCCGGCGCTGAATAAACACACCTCCTTTATAACCCTCCAAGGTGGTAAAGTCGTTGTTCCACGCGTCAAGGAGCTCAGCAGGATTTGGGAAGCATTTCTTCCTCCTGGGGGTCTGGGTCCGCAGCCAGCACCAAACCCCTGCACCCACGCACGCTGCACAGGGCGACACTCCAGCTCTGCAAACACCCGGGGTGAATCACGCCTCTGCCATGCCAGCCCGCTTCGAAGCCAGCCCTGCGGTTATCCCTTTTATTTCCCCCTTACACAAGAGCTTCCTGGAGCACCAGGGAAGCAGCACCGGTGGCAGTGAGAACAAGGCAGGGTGGGGAGGATGCCACTTCATGGTGCAGCAATGAACCAGGGGAGGCTGGCAGCACGTGGCACCTGACGAACAGTTTAGGGAGCCCAGAAAGCTCAGTGCACTGACCCCACAGTCGGCCACGGCTGGAGCGGGGCAAAGGCTGCAATTCAGGCAGTTCAATGAGACACTCAGACCCCCAGAGCATGCCCCTGACGGGTGGATCCAGTACTTGCTCAAAGCTGATCAAAAGCCATCATCTCCCAGTGGAGTTTGTGTAGCTTCCTCAAACACCTGGAGCGGTCCCATCACTTGCATTTCCCCGAAGACTGTGCCTCAGTTTTGGTGAAACAGTCCCTGGGGGAAACAATCATTTTAGACCCAAAGCAGGACCCTTAGCCAAATAAGCTCCTTGGGCAAAGAAGGGGGGTGGAGCATTATCTCCCATGGAGGAGGGAGCTCCGTCAGGTAGCATGGCATAAGCTAGCATGAAATGGCACCACTATTTATTGCCAGATGTCCTAGAAGCAAGAGAAGCCCTCCCTAATGTGGATGTAAATCTAAAGTGCAACAACTTTTACACAAAGCCCCGAGGCTCTGGGGACCACAAGTACAAGTGTGCTTGCTCAATCTTGGCCAAGACCAGGGTAAAGCCACTTTCCGGGGTGTTCCCTGTGCTTATTGTGGAGATAAAGCGAGGTGGTAAGTGCTCCAGGAGGATGGAGAGCATGCACCAGCACCGGGCAAGAACATTTTCCCAAAGAAAAAAAACTGAGTTCAAACCCAAACTCTCATCTACCTCAAGTGACAGCCATGCTGTGGATCTGCTTTCCAGCTACACCCAGGGCAGCACAAGGCAGGAGACGTAGCTCCCAGCAGCCATTGTCACTGCCTCGAAAACCAGGAGCCCTGGGGAGAGCCAAGAACGGGTAAAACATTCAGCTGGTTCAGCTGCTTCCAAGCTTGCTCCTACCACAGCTTCTTCCCTGGGCCCACGCCTGTGCAGCTCCTGTTCTCAAGTGGCAACCACAGGACTTGTGTCCCTTTGCTCATTCACATTTCAGCTGCTTACCTGCAGGGAAACAGCACCTCCTCCAAATTCTCCTCTGCTCCCACAGGAGGAAGAACTTCCTCAGACCTGCCTCTTCCATGTTTTGGCCTCTTCCCCCCCCCAAAACAGGGAAGGTCTCTCCTGCCATCAAGGAGTCCAGCACCTGGAGACACCTCAACTAGTTGCAGAACACAGTACTGCACTCCTCAAAGCCAGTGCAGAGAGATGGAGGATTCACTCTCTTCCTTTCAACTGGGAACCGGCAGAGGTTTAAAAAGGAGAGATGAAATGGATTTCCCACGACACATTCTGCTGTCTCAGAGCTCATCTTCTGCCCTTCAAGGCTGGAGCCAAAGGGAAGTCCCAATGTACTCCTGACATCTTGCCAAAGAAACCACTCACTGAAGCCAAGCACTACATGCTGCTTTAGTGCTAAAGGACACTTTATTAAGAAAAAGAGAAAAAAGATACACACACAAAAACCAGCCTTAGGTTTCTCCTACGTGTAATACAGGGAAGGAGAGCTCTGCCTGCAGACTGTGAGCAGCTGAAAACACGAGTAAAGGATGCTCTCAACAATGGTGCAGTTTCTCAGAGAAGACTTGGCACTTTTCCTCCCTCTCTTCCACACTTGTAACACATTTTATTTTAGGCAGTCACTCAAGAAGAAAGGTTGCTTGGTTTCCTTCAAGAATCTAAGTACAAGAAAATTGAGTGCTGCAGGCCAGATGACAGCATTTCAGGAGAGACAGCCCTGCTGCCTCTGCAACCTGGGAGAACACATCAATGGTGTGAGGTTCAATAAGGCCAAGTGCCAGGTCCTGCACTTGGGTCACACCAACTCCATGGACGCTACAGGCTGGGGCAGAGTGGCTGGAGCTGCCTGGCAGAGGAGGACCTGGGGGTGTTGGTCAACAGTCAGCTGGATATGAGCCAGCAGTGTGCCCAGGTGGCCAACGGCATCCTGGCCTGTGTCAGGAACAGCGTGGTGAGTAGGACTCGGGAGGTGATTGTCCCCCTGTACTGGGCACTGGGGAGGCCTCACCTCGAGTGCTGTGTCCAGTTTTGGGCCCCTCACCACAAAAAAAGACATTGAGGGGCTGGAGCGGGTCCAGAGAAAGGCAGCAGAGCTGGTGAGGGGTCTGGAGCACAAGTCTTGTGAGGAGAGGCTGAGGGAGCTGGGGGTGTTCAGCCTGGAGAAGAGGAGGCTGAGGGGAGACTTTCTCCCTCTCTCCAACTCCCTGAAAGGAGGGTGTAGCCAGGGGGGGTCGGTCTCTGCTCCCAAGGAACAGGCGATAGGACAAGAGGAAATGGCCTCAAGTTGCACCAAGGGAGGTTCAGATTGGAGATTAGGAACAATTTTTACCTGGAAAGGGTTATGAAGCCTTGGAACGGGCTGCCCAGGGCAGTGGTTGAGGCACCATCCCTGGAGGGATTTAAAAGACGGGTTGACATAGTGCTTAGAGACGTGGTTTAGTGCTGGTTTTTTATCAGTTAGGTTGATGGTTGGACTAGATGATCTTAAAGGTCCTTCCCAACCCAGACAATCCTATGATTCTATGGTCAAAACCAGGCTTGAATAAAAAAGTACCACAAATTCATCTTTATTCAGCAGCAGTCCTAGACCCACAACTTCTAAAGCACAAGCTACGTACTAGTTTAGTGGCAGGTACCACCCAGAACAACTAGTCTAGCTGAGGGCATGGATTCAAACCCAGGTTCTACCTTCACACAGGCTTGTAACCTACCAGTTTCACAGCCTGAATCACCAGGGCAGTGTTCCAATGTATTCTCACCATTTCCTGGTTTACCTGGTAGAACGCACAAGTTCCTTCATAATTTCCCAGTAAAGAAACAGCTCACCCTACTGCAGGACAGGGCTGCAGGAGATACATTCAGCAGTCTTAGTGATTAACAGGTAACAAACTAACGATGACAGACAACTTGCTCTGCTTCTGCAGCTGATGACACTCAACCTCAGCAAACTCAGATGCAGAATCACCACCAGGCTAGTACTACAGCAAAAACCTTCCATAAACCAAACACTCACACTACTGGAAAACAAAAGGAAAAGCTTAGAAAATAAATGAGTCCAGACATGTTATGTAAGTCAAAGCAGATTATTTATTTTTATGAAACTGAAAGTGATGACCACTAGTATTGCAATCACATGCCCAAGTTTCTTTATCTCTATTTTGAAATGAACTCAAAACAATGTGCCTGTTCTAGTCCCCAGAACATGTAACAGACACCACTGAGGACAAGGAGGCACCTCTCTGGAGTTCCACAGATAGTTAACTACTTCATTTCCTACCTTCTGACACAGAGGAGTCACTCAAAGCATCTTTATTTCAATGTTTCCAGTTGCTGGATTTTGAAAGTCACATTAATGTGACTCATTAATCCCACCTCACCCCTGATTAATTCATGATTAATCTTCATTAATTCCCCACAAACAAGCAAAGTGCAGTGTTCTTAAATTGCAATGATGGCTCCAAGCAAGAGGCCACCATAAAAGCAAATTTTGCTAATAGGAAAATGTGATTAAAAATAAGATTGCAAAGTATGGTCACTGAAATTTAAAAATAAACCTCTACGTATAAAAATATACTGGCACTTTATGAAGGCACAACAGGAACTACTGCCTCAGGCATCCAACCAACTGACTTTGGTACCAATGGGGAGAGAAGGGTCCCCATTCCTATGGCAGCTTGACAGAAGGAAAAAATCCACCTCTCAAGGAACACATCAATGGTAAGTATCATTACAGCAAGCACGACTGCAGTACTTCTCCTACCAAACTCAGCGCTGAAGCAGGAGCAGCTCAGGGCACACGCTCACGCTGAGCCCAAGCAGTGGATGGGCCCTGTCGAGCAGTGATGCATGGGATCGTGTGTCACTGTCACAAGGTGGAAAACCAACAAGGTCTATTTTTCTGTGACAGAAACTGCTAGTAGCCGTGTTTTTTTTCCTCTATTTACATTCCTTTCAATTAGGAACAGGAAAGATCAAAGACACAGAGCACAAGCTGATAGAATTAGTGTGAATGGTACAAACTCGAGACACTGAGCACCCACAGCGTGCAAGGGAGAGCGTGGGTGCAGACAGCTCTCTTCACCACGATACAGGTGGTCAGGCTGCATCTACACCTTCTTTATTTCTGGTGGTTTCACAGGTGGCCATCCCTGCCATTTATAGTATGACACCAGCTGCTTCGGCACTTCAGCCAGAACCACCTGGGAGAGTGCTTCCCGGGGAGCCTGCAAGAAGAACAAGGGAAATAAATGAGAAATACTGCAGAGAAAGGGTTTATCACCCAGTGACAAACTCTTGGAGATTGAGAGTGCAGCCCCCCACCTGCCACATCTCGCCCCCTGTTTCAAGAGTTCCTTGCTGCAGCTTTAGGAACACTTCCAGTCAGTCTCAGTGAGCACTGCTGATGAAAATCACTTGTTCACACCCCTGCGCTGCCACCACCTCAAGCCCAGGCTCACACAGCCTTTATATGGCCCTGATCTGAGTGGGAACCTGCCCCAGCCACTAACAATTTCTCTTATTCTGTGTTTTCACTTGATTCCACTCTTCAATCCAATTCACTGTGCAACATGCACAAATGCTAGGGCACAAATGCTTTCAACAGCAGGGAAGACTTATCTGAAATCACTCATGGGACTCAACAGAGACTGTCAATATGATCTCATTTCCTTGCCTAAACGTTTGCATCCCAGGAAAGAAAATATCTCCTTTACTCCTTTACCTCTATAATAGCCCAGAGATAGCATAATAAATCAATGATACAAGGAGAGCTCTGCGAAACGCCCCAAGAGAGCTGCGACAAGACACACCGGTTCAAACACAGAAGCAAACAGCTCTCACTGGGACAAGCCCCCTGAGCACACAGCTTGCTGCCCTGTCTAGACTCATGCTTGTTTTTCAGAGGTACTATCTGCATATATACCGGCACCAGGACTCTTCTGAAGTTAAAGACAACTTACATTTTTGAACTGTCGGAAAGGCACAAACTGGACAATGTCTCGTGCAGCTGGCTCTCCTGTCAGGGACTTCAGGACACCGTTGTCTCCATCAAGGAACTCCATTGCTTTGAAATCAGCTTCACCAACTCCAACAATAATGATGGACATCGGCAGCTTAGAGGCATTAACAATGGCTTGCCTAGTTTGGTCCAGATCGGTGATCTCTCCATCAGTGATGATCAGCAAGATAAAATATTGCTGAAAAACATTAGAAAGCACCCAGTTAGGGAGTTCAACACCAAAGCTCATGTAACCGAAGGCAAATGGAGCAATTTCTTATTCTAAGAAAGAAACCAGATGGTGCTGTGGGTAAGGCAAAACCAGAACGTTAAAAGAAACTTACATTTATTCCCATTTTTTCAATGCATTACAACTTTCACTGTACACTCTGCACTAGAAAAAAATATTTTAAAATTATAAATCAATTTATAAAGAACTACATCAATTGGCAGAAAAGAGATGGGCAAAGTACTACTAAATCAACAAAACTGCATACAAAATTCACTGATCAATGCTGCTTTACTTACTGACATCTCAAAAAGGCTAAAGTTCAATATTTAATATCCCTGGAGCATAACTCAAAAAGCCTTTTTAGTTACCAATAATTTAAAGTATTAGAAATCTAAAGACACAGCAGTGACAAGTGTCATGACACAAAGCCACGCCAGAGATAAGAGGGGAAGAATACAGGAACTTTTCTAGAAAGAAAAGGTAACTCCAGCCAACACTTTAGCATGGTAAAGTGTTTAAAATTTCCTTCTCTTTCCGGAGGCTAAGGTTTAGTACCTAGTTCTGAAATGAGCAACCACTGTTTTATAGCAGCTATCTACAGACTAAAATGAAAACAAAAAATGACACACACAATGAAAATAAAAGAAAACTGAATTTCCACTTCCAAAATCCAGTTAACACAAGTGTTAATATGTACCCTATTACTGACAGATTCTTTATTTAAATAGTTAGTTTTCCATCTGTAAGAAAAGGCAGAGATATTTAATGTATAAAGATATAAGAAGATTCCCCCAAGTGTTGGGAAGCTACAAAATACCCTCCAAAATGTAAGAAACTGATCTCCCTAGACCAAGCACCTTACAGTGGGGGAAATGTATTTGACATACACACAACCGTAAGTGGAACCAAAAATACTGAAACAGGTAGACCATAAAGCAAGTACCAGAGTGTACACCAAAACTCCTTCTGATTGCTCTGTCAAAGTGGAATTAGTTACATCTGTAAGGAATTCCTTAAGCAAAAGGAATGAAGTTTAAGGAAATGGAGTCAAATTTTAACAGCTACCATGGCCATGCAAGCACATAAATGGGACATTCAACACAACTGTAGGGTACATGGGGTGCTCTGCAAAATTGATTTAACAGTTCTCAGACTCCTTTGTTAATCTGGTCCTCTAGACAGCCAGATTCTGCAAGACACCACGGTGGGATGGATAGTCAAGCCCTCTGATATTTTTCTTGGAGGCTGTCTTTGTTTAGGTTCTTGAGAGCAAAATTATTTAGAATTAAATATATAGAGCCCCTCTATACTGTATGCATTCCCTACAGGTGACAGAGCTTGGCAAGAGAGGTTAGACTGAGACAACTGCTGACAGAGCCCTACTGGTCTAAAAGCAGCACCCCTGCATATTTCAATAGTAAGTACAGTGCCAGAAAACTCTGAAAAAGAGAAATAAACATCACTTGAGCAATAAAAACTAGTGTTAATGTCTGCCAAGTAGAAGGTTCATATCAGTATGTACCAAGAGAGCACCAACAACTTCTCAGTAGGCTGGCAGGAGACGAACAAACTTGTATCTTGAGGAAGGAAGACAACATCACTTTACCATTCCACAAACATGGAAAACACGAACATCATCCCAATGCAGAGTCACAGGAAAGGACACACACTCACCGAAGCCGTTCCTTGTTGTGCCGAGTGCGCTGCAAATCTCGCCACATGGTTTATAATAGGAGAGAAATTGGTTGGCCCATAGAGTCGGATCTGAGGCAGGATCTGGCGGTAGGCATCCACTATTCCTTGGATTCCTGTAACACAAGGAAGGCAAGCTGCCACAAGAACCTCACAACTTCTCCAGTAATTATTTTGTAAGCATTAATAAATGGCAAAAGGATAACAACTTTCACACAGCTGTGAACTCCAGAAGGGCAAATAAGCAGCAGGGTTACAGCAAATATACAAAGCACAGGGCTGAAACCAGAGGACATCTGCAGAGACAGGATTTGCAGATTTTTCCCCCATTCTACATTCTTCACATCACTCTCTGTGCCTCTAACATCACAAAGCCAACAGAAGTGGCAGGAAAAATAATCCAGTGAAGGCACACTAATGACTACCTTGTCATCCAATTTGTCTTGTTTAATTGCTTATAGTCTAGTTAGACAACAAGGTCAGAAGCTCTCTGGAACAGTAACTTTTCGTTTTCCTTGTGTGAAAGTTAGACAATGATCCCTGACTCAGGATTCAGACATTTCTGTAACAGAAAGAGCAATCCCTAAGGCTTTTCCTACACAAGAAGCTTTTCTCAGGTTAACTAAACAAATTTTTTTTTAAAGTCTGATCTTAAATGGTGCATATTCTTCTGTGGATCCATCTAGACTGGCCTATTCCTGGCTTGTATCAATATAGCTTCATTCACCTCTGCTGTCTGCATTGTCCACCATGCAGGTTTTAGTGCGGTACATCTCAAAAATACTGCACTGGCACCCTTAAAGAGCACAATCCCAACGTCAGATAATGCAGAACTGAGAGAGGAAACGCTTGGATTTTAACACTGAAACTCAGATTCCTTTTTTTGTTGGCCTTAGACCAGAGAGAAAAGCTGAACTGAGTTAAAAATGCTTATTCAAGAACAATTCTGCATTGCTGCATGCTGAGACAGTTCTTAGTCTTAAAAGGTCATAATTCATTTTAGAGAGCAGTCACTAAAAACAGATGAGACCATCTCCACTAAAAAAGATGACTATAAAGAAAATAAGCTTTTAAGACAACCCTTTAGAAGGTAACATGCAAACACAGACACATTGGAGACCATCATTACTTCATCAGCAATGGCCTTAGCAGATGGTCGCTCTGGAAGCATGACTAGCACAGGCACATTGCTGATCTGAATACACTGCTACCTATAACATACCAGAAGTAACCAAGCTGCAGCAACAAAAATTTCAGCACAGATTAACAATCAAATTAAATCTAGACCCCTTCACTGGAGCTTATGTAGGCCGCACAGAAGTCTGCATCAACGCACATCCACCCGTGTCAGCATCCAAGAGAGAGTAAATCTAGCGTGCTGCATGTCTTGGTACTGCATCTGTTTTTCACCAGTTATGAAAGAAATAAAACACTTCAAACATCTCTCCCTTTTAGTGAAATAGCGAATAAAGAGGTGTCCTCACCTTGGCAATAAGGGTTGCTGGGGTTGAAGTTCAAAGCAAACTCATGAGATACCTAGGAAATGGGACATTACGAACAGTCAGGGAGTGCAGACATGGAGAGAGCGACCACCCAGCATTGTGAAGGTCCTACCTGCCAGCTAGGAGGAACCTGAGCTCCAAACCCAAACGCAGGAAACAACTTGTCCCTGGAAAGAAACAGCAACGACAAGAAATGAGAAAGAGCAATTCCTTAACTCACTATTCTGTTTTATTCTCAGAAAGCAGCTGGAGACTAAGGTTTGATTCCTGCCATAAGGAATGGGTACACCATCCTGCTCCCAGTGGCCAGTCACAGACTGATTTCAGCCTTGGGCTTGATGGTTTCAGAATTTCTTTGAGTGCACCCCACAGGACTCTCAGGAGATTTCCAAGTAGCAAGAGAAAGTCAACCCAACCACAGGCTGGCTAAAGGACAGAGCGGAAAAACGTGTTCCCATTAAATCAAATAGGAAATTCATGTCTGAAATGCAGCGTCAGCAACAAGTGACCAGCCTAAAGCAACATTACAGAGCAGCCCAGTGCCATAAAAGGGCAGACCTGGAGGGACAAACCAAGCAAATATGCCAAATTACAAAGGGCTGCCATGGCCCTCCCCAGCAGTGACAGAAGCAGAAGGGAGCAGCAGAAGGGAAAAGGGATCTCCCAAGGAAAGGCAGCACCTCAGTCATTGAGCTATAGCTCTGGAACAACCCAACCTCCTTGATCACTGACACCTGCTGTGACACATTTTTGGTGCAGTGGCTAGATCAGTTAAGATTGCTACATACGTGTCATAATCCTGGACTACACTTCCCACACTCCAGATGGCAATCAGGTACTCATTTATCCCGTCTGGGCTGATGTAGTGAAGAGAATCTGGTGACTTGGGATCTCCGTTAGAGCCAGTGAAGTCTACACCCACCTAATCAGTCAAGGCGATGAGAGCAAGTCACTGATGCATCACCACAAGCAAATGAGAAGAACTAACCATACCCAGAAACAGAGGATTAGCCCAGGCCCACAAAGCTCCCTTCCCCCAGGCACACAGGCAGCCCCACAGAGGGACAGGCAAACCAGCCTGTGCACCTTTTCCCACTGGGGTACGTGCATGTTTAAGAAGTAGTAATTATTTGGAGAAATAGGTTCAGTCTGTGATGGAAAGAAGTTTAAGAAACCTTAGTTCCATTAAAGTTGCCACTTGATCACAAAACGTAAAAATATAATATAATTTGGGTTTTTGCAGTCATTCACGCTGCAAATTCATACTGCAAATGAAAGTATTAATCACAACTTCACTGGTCTTGCCATCTACCAACATGTGCAGTGGGGAAACAACTCACCGTGAAGTTAATCTGGCAGCCTCCCATGACATAGTCCAGAAACGAATATTCGGTCTCAATCTAGGGAAACAGACAGACAGTGTTACACTTCCTCCCCACAGGAACAGATTTCCTGATGATCAGAAAATAAAAAAACCAAAAAACCAACAAAGATCTTCCTACCTTGCAGGATTTTATCCTAATAATGCCAGAGTTTTTGTAGCTCTTTTTCTTTTGTTTTTTCTCAGGATGAATGCATTCAAATTCCACCTAGAGAAAGCAAGCATGCAAGAAGCAAGTTCCAAAATATCTGCATTGACAGCAGAGCAAATTACTGAAATGGAATGGTGTCAGACATCATACAATTTCAGAGTTATGCAAATATCTGGTAGAATTCTGAAACTTAATTTTAAAAAAGGTTTGCAACTACTTTGGCTGCTATCTGACGAGTTAAATGGATGCTTTTGCTACCAGCACTGGGAAAACACACAGCAAGATCTCAGAAAAGTCTCTCTCCTCAGCAACATAACTGTTATTCTGTATGCAATCGTGGAACAGTGTCATTGAATCAGAGGGAAAAAAAGCTGACCACAAGTACAAGCATTTCTCTTAACATTATCAGGTTCTTTTTTGGTTAAGGGAAGGGAATGTACTCAGAAGACAAGGAAGCAAAATCTCAGGGTGGGAAGGCCATTTTTTAGCCTAGGTGGCAGGTTCCCAATGGCAGTGTTTCACTGTTTTGTTTCACCCGCGTTAGATCTGATTTCACATGGGCTATGGAAAAAGGCAAGAACCATCCAGCAGCTTTTAGGATTACAACCACAGATATCAAGTTAGCTGTCGAGTGGAAGCAGTCCTAGGCTAGTGGTAGAGCACTGAAACAAGCTGCCCAGAGAGGTGGTAGAGTCTCCTCTGGAGACATTCAAACCCGCCTGGAGAAGCTTCTGTGCAACCTGCTCTAGGTGGACCTGCTTTGGCAGGGGGTTGGTTGATGATCTCCAGAAGTCCCTTCCAACCCCATATGATTCTATGCCCTGTGTGCGGATTCATCTGCCTGAATTCAGACAAGACATCTCCAGAGAATGAGAGTTCAGGTTTTCATTGCAGACAAGAGAGAAGATGGCACCAGCAGCAAATGATTCAACTTATTCTAAACTGAACAGTGCACCTTGGAATCACCATTTCTCTCTGTTAGCTAGAAAGACAACCAGAGCACTCATGAGAGTGACTAGCTCAAGCACAAATGTTATCTGAGAGAAACCCTACCTCTGGACTCAGTCTGTTAAAGCATCAACAAGCCCTTTTATTTCCTCTTGGCTCAGCAGTAGCAAGAGCAAGCTAAAACTGCTGGCAAAAAGTGGCTGGTGGCCAGCAGACAACGGGCTCGAGGATGTCTTTAGGAACAGGAATGATAACCGTACCCAAAGAAAACAGAGCAATGTAATTCCCACACCAGGTTTTATTATTCCCAGATGCTGGCTTTAGTAATCCAAAGATACAGACAGAAAAATTCACTTTTGGAGGCAACAACTAAAAATATATCTCTGAGGTCATTATTAAAAAGGGTCTGTGAAAGACTGAATTACGGACTAAGTTAGTGGGGACTGAGGAAGCTCACCGCAGCGCCGTCACCTGCTTTCTGCAGCTCAGTCAGGTTAGTCTCAAAAGCGCCGATTAAGTCATGCGACCCGTCGCTGTCGTGATCCGCGCACTGCACCTGGAAGGGAAGGGAGAGAGCGCAAGCAATGGGCAAGTGTACTGCACCAGGGAGACACGCCGCCGCTCACGGCGTCATCTCCTGCTCCTGACAGCTTTGCGTGATGCTAGTGAGCTCCCCTGTCACACCCCAACTGGTGGTGCCATCGTATCACTAATGGAAACCCAACAGTGAGAGAAACCCAGAGTGGATCTCACAAAAAGGAAGGTGTTTGATTGCTCACACATTTAAGTACGCACAGTGCAAGTTTTAATTAAAAGCTTTCCCCATCTACGCAAGGGATTAAAAAAAAAAAAAAAGGACGAGACAACCAAAACACACCCAAAAATCCCTAATATTTCATAGCCAGATGTGTAAGGGCAAGATAATTCAGAACAACATATGCAGCTGGGGTAATGGGAAGAAGCAATTAAAAGTTTGTTTATCTAGGCACTTTCTGAGTATACTCCTTTCTTCTGCCCAGAAACAGCATCATTTTACAAAGAACTGACAATTTCAACAGAGCACTGAGTGTGTCTTTTTCTGCATTTTACACCAACCAAATTATAAATACTGAATTAATAATCAGTCACATTTAAGTCAGCATTAACGCTTCAGAACTAGATAATGCACAAGAGTAATGCATTTAAAAATAAATATATGCTAATAACTATGGCTTAGAGCAAACACAGTTAAGACTGATATTGTCAATAGTTCCCCACAAAATCAACCATGAGGAGCATTTATAACATGCACAATACAGACAACCGCAGAACACAATTAATTCCAGAAGCAGTCAAACAAGAAACAGTTGTGAACAGCTGCTTCCCCCCGCACTGAAGTTCACATGCTACACATATTCAAAAGCTCTCTTTCTGAGATCTGCCTTTAGTAATCAAGAAATTGATGTTGCTGCCATATAAACCACAGCGACAGCTTTCTCCTCAGGATGAAGTAACAACATAAATCAGAGTAACACCCTGATAAGGATGTCAAATTCAATGGCTCAGATATCTGAATTTGAGACAGGGTTCTTTTAGGACTGTGATCCACTAGGCATCTTTCATTGGTATCAGTGGGAAACCTGCACAAAACGATGGGTGAATTATGGCCTAATCTAGCCTAATCAGAAGCACTGAGTCATCCTTCAGTTTCTTAATGGGAAAACAAGATCACCTTAGAGCCTGTGTGCCCTTTCTCCCCCTTCATCCTTCCCAACTCCTCACCTTTCCACTTCTCTCTTCTGCATGCTCCACCACAAAGCAACTCCCACCCTCCTGCCTGAACTCCCCCACGCCTCTCTCAGCTATTCAGATGTTTAAACATCACCCAAAAGCAACTGGAATATGCCAGGGAGGCCAATGAAGGAGGCTCTGGCGCAGAAGCTGGGGTGTAGGGCCTGCTGCTGCCTCCACACACCTCCTCTTCCCTCTCAGCCACGCCAATAAAACTGTACTTAGGACCACTTTTCTTATACAACTTAAAACAAATTCTTTCTGCAAGGGTTTTCTAAAACTGGCCAAGATTCAGTGTGTGCAGCCTGAAGACTGGTGTTGCTGCAAACAAAATCCTGCTGGCAATACTGCAGGACACTGCACATAGTTATTTACTGATTAATTATTTCTTCGCGAATGAACTATCCAATACTCATTGCAAAGCCTGGAATATAGTCAGCGGGTAAAAGGCTCCTTTCATCTACAAGAACAACTTTCAAAATTCACAGAAAATGGATTTCCTTTTATGTAAATGCCATCAAACACAAGGACTTGCAGCTTTAGTCTCAATACCAACACCCACAAATTTCACATTTAGTACTTCTATTTAAGTAACTATGGGGGAGAGATGCTACTTTCGTTTGCCCCCAATTTTTAACAAAACCTGTGTCACAAATCTGAGCTGTTCTTAACACAGAACAAGGAGAATATCACTCTGTATCACAATGAAGAAAGAATTACCAAAACATTATGTAGCATAGTTAATTTGATCAAGAGAATTATGTTCACACACATATTCAGTACATAATCCTCATACAGAACTGGCAAAGCTGATATTTAGTGGACGTGTCAAAGTGTTTCCACTGTGCTGAAGTACAAGGAGTTCTCCCTTCACTGACTACCGTTATTTCATGCATAATTGTTCCTATGTAAATTTTTGGAAGCCTCAAACAAGAGGTTCAGAGCAGCAAATATCAGATGAACAATGAAACACCAGTGCAATATTATATTCTTTACTGCTGCTAGTGAAACTCCTGCCTGTCAGCCTGGATTTCCCTTTCTGACTGACTTCCCTATAAGTACAGTAACAATAAAACCCTCTTTCACAGCTGCACTGTGAAACTTCATAGATTATTTGCACATCCATCGAGAATTTTGGCTGAAACAACCTAACAGCAAAGACCTATCCTAAGAAGCAGGACATTCCAAAATTCCAAAGTGAATTCCAAGCACAGAAAGCTTCTAGAAAAAAAAAAAACCAAAACAAAACAACCCAAACATAAACCGACAACAAACCCCAAACAAACCAATCAACCAAACTAAACAAAAAACAACCACACAAATTTTTATGGACTACAGCAAACAAAGCCTCAATTATTAGAATGTATAAACCATGCCATCTCATGTCAGTTTTGACAAAGGATGATATGCCTCCCCTTTGCCATCTCCTTTCCACGTTTGCTACTCTCTTCTGGACCAAGAGGAATTCTTTCTGACCTAAGACTGTTGATTCTCCAACAATAAAAGCTCACGAACAACACTTAGAACATCGCCACATATCAACATGCCCAGCACACCTGAACATCTATTTCCACATTAATCTCAGTAATTTTTTGGACCTGCCATGCTGCACAAGTGAAAACGCTAGCATGCATGCTTTTTGCTAAACCTTTCAGATCAAACTTCCAGCATGAGATTTCTTCACAGTCAGGATGAGGCAGGAAAATTCTGCAAATAGAAAGCGTTTAGGAGTTGGATAAACAGAGACTATACTCACATAGAACTATATATGGACTTAAACACCCTTACATTATCTGCATTGCTGAGAGCAGAAATTAACAAATTAATTTGCTATCAGATTTTCATTTGCAGAAACTTACTAAAAGATGTAATTGTTCTGCCACCACCCTCATAAGCCAGGATCAGAGAGAATTAGTAATCATATACAAGACCACAAGGAATTGCAGTTCTAACTCAAACCCAAATTTGGAACAGACTGAAAAAGAGTTGGGCCAAGCCTGCCAGTCTCATGAACTGATGAATCCGATAGATGCATTAAGGTCCTCTCTCTGTCAATACCCTAAGGCCTCCAAGCTTGTCCAACATATATGAGCTTCTCAGTTAACTTAGAAACAGTCCTAGACAGCCGTAATTAAAATAAAAACAAACAAACAAACAAACAAAAAAACACCAACAAAAAACCCCCAACCAACCAACCAAAGAAACCAACAACACACAAACTACCAAAACCCAACCTGACACCGTGGCCAGAGTAGTGAATTCTTCTTATGACTAATCATTAGAAAGTGCGTCACTTCTGCATACTCATACTGTTTTAATACAGACTTCATACTTAATAGACATATAATCACTTATCTGCCACACTGCTATTTTAGAAAGGCAATCTAAAAATTTAAATATGACTAGACATCTGATAAACTCATAGTTAACGTCAGCATAGATTGGATTACTTATAATAAAACCAAAGAATTTCTGAAGACTGTACCTTGATAGGTTTATTAAAATCTCCACCACAGAATGTCTGCAAGGGAACACTGAACTTCCTCCAGCACGGATTTAAGTTGTTCTTAATCACCTTAAAAAAAATTACAACATAATGTCATGTAAAGGATGTGGCATGCAAGTAAATCACTAAGAAATATGAGGGTTCTGCATGGCTGCCTAAGAACAGCCCCAGTCAGTTCAAGCCTGACATGCATGGACAGCCAAGCAAAAGCTCTGTAAGTAATAAAAGCTTGAAGTTCAGGGTAAAGTTAAATTTTAGAGTGATGCCAACCTAACAGCTCATCAGCACCAAAAGGGAGGAAAGTCCTGCCACTCTTCTCACGTGGTGCTTGGTTGGACTCTTCATTGAGTCAGCTTAATCCAGTCACCATGCAGCAAATAAACCACTTTCTGCTAGGTCAGTGAGCAGAATTCCTATTTTAGGATACAAGACAACTTCCATTGCAGAACTAGTGCAAAGCATGAGCGGGACACCCACTCTCGGTAGGAACAAGCTGTTTGATCAACTCAAGAAAAACATCAGTGTAGAAATACTACCTCTGATCTGTAAACCAGCTGCCACGTTCCAGCATCACTCTGTTTGTAAAATTCCAAAAATGGATCCGATTTACCAAATAAATCCTGCGAACAAAAACCCAACAGAAGTTATCAGCCTCCTGTACTTTACTTAGATGAGGGAATAGTCGGCCAACCAGTACACAATACTTCAAAGCACAAAGTCAAACTATACACTTGTTTTCCTCTTTTATTTTACTTTTCTCTTTTAAACTGCTGCACTAAGTCATCAGAATTTAACAGCTGATACCAAGACCGCCTCCTCAGACCACTTCTGTCACTATAAATCATGTCATTTTGCTGATTGAGCAGCGAGGTTACTAAATCCCTGGATTGGTTTTTTGGTTAAAATAAACTTTTTTTTTTTCTTTCTTAATAACAATACAGAAAGCTCAGTTCATACCTACAATATTCATCTGAGACAGTCATGTAACTGAACTGTATTAATATACAGAATATTCCAAAGCCAAAATAATGCTCAAAAACCTAAACCTGGCAAGTGAATTTTTGATTTGACAGTGGTTTTCATGCCCAGCATGAAATTATGTCTCCATTTTACTTCATTGTAAGTAACAAAACACAGTTACCCTGGCTTAGCTGAGTATCTGCAAATCCAGAAAGATTCCTGGCCAAAGGGGACTAACTGTAACCATCGCAGAAGCATACAGTATCATTTAAAAAAATCAGTACCTTTTTGTCCAAATTTCGTGCTTCAATTTCCAAGTATAAAACTCTGGTATCTTTAATCTCCTCTGCTGAGATCTGTGCCACAGAAATTAAGAAAAAAATTAAACTAGAAACCCCTCAGAGTTTTTCTCCTACTTTGTCCATGAAAGTAACTGTAATTATAAATATCTATCCTTCCTTCTACATGTGCTACATGTAGCATTAGAAGATACACTGACAGAAAAAAAGAGAAGTCACTTTGTCCCAGACAACATACAAAAGAACGAGAAACAACTCTCTCCACACAAAAGCCTTATTTACCGTAATGGTGCCCTTTCCTGCTGGCTTTCCTTGCTTCAATTCCAGTGGTCGGGTGAACACCGAGCTGGACACAATCTAAGGTTAAAAGACACATAATAAATATCAAGTTAGACAAAGAGCACAGAATTACTCTTCAGGAGCAAAATTTTCAAACTCTCGTAAAAGATCATAAAGGATTTAAATGCCTTTCCAACAGCAACGACCATCAGAGTCTGTGCTCATGAATGGCTGAACAGTCTCAAAAATGACCTTCTCTCACTATCCACAGAACAGTACCCAATAACGTGTCTCCAAACCTAATTTAGTCTCCTATTTTTGCCACCTCCGAGACATAAGCTGCATTTTCATCACAAGTAACCAAAAAGCTATTAAAATTCAGAAAAGGCTATTTAATTTATCAAGTCTTTCTTGAATAATATGAAGCCCACTTTTCCTCTCCTACTTAGCTATACAAACCCCTCCTCAGGAAATGAATACAGAATCTCAAATAGCCTAATTTCCCCAAATTTACTGCCTGATGATCACTTTGTGCAAAGGAAACTCCATTAGAGCTCTCTAAGCACCATGCCTTCCTTACTCCCAGATTGCCTTTAGCGCATCTCTTAAGTTAAGCAATTAATCGCAAACCATATATATTTCTAATCTTCGCTTTGTGATTGACACCATAATTTCTCTAACTATGTTCACAACAGTAATGCAAACTAACCTGTTCAACAAGACATTTTCAAGTTTGAAAGTGTCAAAGCCTTTGATAAAGCAACCTTACACCCAACACCTGATGATACTTTGTATATCACTTAACATGCTTCTGCACATACCTGTCCCAAAGTGCACTCGATCCCTCCGAGGTAGTCATCGTCATTTAAATCAAAGGACTTGTTATCGATATCATACACACCGAATTTCAGCTTCTGCACTTTCTCAAAGTAGTAGTCCACGACCAGCTTCTTGCAGAATTCAGGGTTTTGGCAGTTCTTGATCCTCTCCGTGCGATCTAGCTGCAGAAACATGGAAGCAAAGCTGTTGATGAGGAGTAAGAAGCGCGCATTCTCCCACGTGGCTTTCATGCGTGCCCCTGGGCCCCGCGCCGGTGGAACACTGGCAGCAGCAGGCTGTGCCCCAGGATCCTGCAGCCCGTTGGGTGAGGAACCAGGGCAGTGCCAGCAGGCTGCCCCAGGGAGAGGATACGGCATCGGATACGAAATGTTAACCTACGGGAAAATTCGAAAATGAGGGGAAAAAAGGCTGGTGAAATACTGTATTCTGGACTCGGTGCTCTGGGGTAAAGGGTAAAAGGCTGCTGTAACAGGCAAACGAAGGCCCTGATGCAGCTCTAAGCAAAGGAGCAATTAATGAAACCAAGGAACACAGAGCTCCAGAAAGAGTTAGAGCCCCCGGTGGGCACCAGGGCCGCCCATCAAATGTAAATCTGAATTAAAGGAACACGGAGGGGCGGAAGCGGGGCAAGGCCGATGTGCCGGCCTGAAGGGATGAAGGGGGGCCGCCCTTACCTCAGCCCAGCGGCCGCCGCCCGCGTCCTGCAGCAGCACGCAGAGGGGATCCGACTTGGAGCCCAGGTCCCTGTCCAGGAGGCTCCGGCAGGTCACCGACAGCTCCACCCTCGTCACGCACCCCGCCATCTGCGGGCAGAGCAGAGGGTCAGACCGACAGACAGACCGGCCGCCGCTCCCCCCGCGCCGCCGGGGGCGGGGCCGGGCTCCTCGGAGCGCGCGGGCCGCGCCGGCCCCGT